GAGCCCGATGCGGGACTCGATCCAGGGACTCCAGGATCATGACCTGAGCCGAAGGCAGTCGCTTAACCAACTGAGCCACCCAGGCGCCCTAAAGTCACATTTCTACAACTATCAGGAAAATTACTGTGTATGTTAGCCAGGATCCTTGGAAGGAACTTCTCTTTAGTAAAAATCAAGTATATCTGTTAAAAATTAAGCACAATTGAATATTATAGTCAAGCCTAGATTCAGCTGGAAAAAATAGGAAATGCAAAATAATATAAAAATACATTTGATGCCATCCTGACTGTTAGTATTTAGTTCAAAGTTGTCTCTGTATTTTCTTCACTTGAGTCTTCTCTGTTGTTATTAATACTTCATTTAATTTTCTGTTCAACACTGCATCCGTTCCTTCGCATGTCCTCTCCCTCAGACCCTTTAGGCTACTTACTACCCTCTAACAGACCTGGGATAGCTTTACCTGCTAATTCTGCTTCTACACTGGTGTGACAGTAACCTGCTACGTGACCTAATGAGAAAACCACAACAGTAACATCTGGATAGTAGATAGTCCCACAGATGGGACACAGCTATGGGTACCATGATTAATCTAAAATAATATTTATAATGTTGCTGATAATGAAAGCCTTGATTGCATTATTATGTATTCTGGGTAGTTTAAATCTTATAAATAGAAAGCTCTTAAGTAAAGTCAAAATTTCTGGCATTTACTTATGTAATATTGCGTTCTCTATGAATAGAATAGAGGGGCAGAGGGTTAAGGAAATTTTCTTAGAACTTTTGACAGAAATCCTAATAATTTCCATCTGAAAAATTCTGCAGATGTCTGGAAAAATACAAAAGAACACAAAAACCTAACTGTTAAGTTAGCTGTCAAATTCAGGTCAAAGAGTTTAAGCTTTTGTTTGGTAGATTTATATTCTGGAACTTCTTAGTAACTTTTTTTTTTTTTTTCCTGGACTAGTAGGATAATATGACAGTAAAAAAGACATGGAAGTAACACTAAGATATCCGACCGAAGAAGAATTGAGCAGCTCAGTTCACAGCAATGCTTTTGGCAAGCAGGGAGGGATTAGGCATGTATAAAATAGAAATAATGCCTGTCCAATTTCAGTGTTGTAGTGTAATCAAGTAAAACAATTGTCTGTGCCAAAGAGAAGACCTGGAAAAATATCTGAATTAGTATACATTTTTACCCAGCCTTATCAGACATTCTCAAAATCATGCTATCCCTTACATACTTTTCCTTTTTCTATTCAGGTTGGCCTTTCTTAGAGTGGCTAATGTTCTGTCATGTTCTCCCTACCCCTTTGGATGTTTTAGCTACTTTTTTTTTTTTTTTTTTGCTTAAGTAGCATTTCCAAGGAACCAACATGGATTTCTGTGTATATCCCCTGGGAATTAATGCCGGAGATGAACAAGAAGGTTCTGGCATTTTCCAACTAGCCTATTGCTGTCCTCAGTTGCTCTTCTCCTCCAAAGCGGCCTATAGCTCAGAAAAGAATTTTCTGCCAACCCCAAGACTCTGCAGGAATAATAGGAATCCTTGGGAGACTCATCACTAGCTGTGTTCAGGTGGGAAGCAGGCTCGGGTATTCGCTATACTTTGTGCGGAGACTCAAACATGGAGATGGCTGGTCTTGTAGGTCATTTGTTACTTGTTTGGAGATGGCTGGTCTTGTAGGTCATTTGTTACTTGTTGAGAATTGGGACAGAAGCAGAAAGAATGAATTGCTGCCTATCATTAGTTCACAATCACTGTCTTCTGGACATTTCCATCTGAGTGCCTCCTGCACCCCAAACTTAGTATTTGCCCAACTGAACTCTTTATCTCTACCCTTCTTACGAATTGGATATTGCATTTGTATTTTCTCACTAGGATAATGGTATCACCATCTTAACATGCATTGAAAATAGTAACCTTGAAATCCGTTTTTGTTAACTCTTCCCTCTCCCATATACCTTCTTTTACCCCCATTTAAAATTTTTATCAAGACCTGTTGATTGTCTCACCAACGTATGCCAAATTGGTTTTATCTCTTCTGTCCCCAGTGCCATCTGCTCTACTTCAGGCTTGCGTGGTCTCTTGCCCATACTGTTTTGAGAACCTCTTATCTGTCTGTTCTCCTGCAGTGTTCCTTCCTGCTAATTTCTTCTTAACCTTCAAGTTTTAATTAACATGTCTTCTCTGCTAAGCATTTCCTGAACTTCCCACGTTAGTTCAGTATTGCCTTCCATGCTCACGTGCACATCTTTGTAGCACTTACTCATGCCGTGATCCACATCTTTGTTTATGCCTCTGTTTCTCCAACTAGACTTGGAAGCCCTCAAGAAATTTTAAAGGTATACTTTAAAATTCTGAGCACATAGTAAATGTCCAGCATCTTGCTTAAATCAAAATGATGACTAGAACAAGTGCTGATGGGTTGTGAAATCCAGGATTAGTGGTATAAATGGATAAAGTAGAAATCAGGGAGGCCTTATTATTGTATTTTAAACAGACCTTATGTACAGCATTTATGTGAATGAGAGAATAGGTTCCAGGTTTTCCTAAATATTTCTCTCTTAAGCATTTTAAAAACCACAAGCAAATATGATTTACACTGTGATTTTAGGATGTAGTAGTAAATGCGGCAACTCTGTGCCTGAATCAAAATACACAGTATTCCAGCACTCTACCTGGTTCTGTCAGTAGTTGGTTCAAAAGCTAGTGGAAATTGCCAAATTGAATGCTTTTCAAGGGTTCATTGGTGACTGAAGATAAGTTGAGCTCCAGGGGCCAAATGACCCAGAGCACACTTTTTAATCATAATGAAATGATTCATAATGAAATGATTCAGGTATAAACAGACAAAAATAAAACCTATACATGAAACAGGTTAAAATAGTTTATTCCATGATACACAGTTTATGAATGATTATAAAATGCAGTATCACATTTAAAATTGACTAGAATTTTGTGAAAATGTGTACTTGTGTGCAAAATGTAATTATGTACATGAAGTTATTAATGTAATTATTATTATAGCATACTTCAGCTTAATGGTGGGGCTTTGCAGCTCTTAGTATCCTCATGTAAATTACAAGGCAACTTGAAAGCAAGAACGTAGAATTTATCTATCTTTAAATCATTGCCTTTCAGTGGGGTGGAGTGATCGGAAGAGAGTGAGGCACTCCCAACCTCATCCCACCATGGCAGCGTATCAGAATCTCTGGGGGCTTTTTCAGACTGTTCATTCTTCTCGGACACAGTAGGAATCGCCATGTGTAAAGACAGCTTTTCCTTGATGAGAGTTTGTTATTCTGGAAGAATATTAGGGCAGAAAAAATGAGAGTACTATTGAAAAAGGAGTCAGTGGTTGATATCACTTTTGTTTCATATTTGCCTTTTATATTTTCACATACTCAAAATGAAGCATTTATAAAATAATAATTTTGGTGTTACAGATTCTGTCTTTTCTGTTAATCAAGTAAATATTGATGACTAAGGGGAGAAAAAGGGACATATCATTGACAATATATGCATAAATACCTGTAACACATATACATAGTAAATAAAATGCTTGACATAGGAAGGCTGAACCGACTCTGCTTCTAGCTAAATGGTGGTAAACCTCACATATGTCCCTTTAACAAGGAAGTGAGAGATGCCAAAAGTGAGCATGGTAGACCACCCATTGTACTTAGTAAGAATGGCTGGGAAATACGGATGCAAGACCACAGGAACTCTGTTTACATGTGTAACTGCTAAATAACACCAGGCACCGATATACTCACCATTCAAAAGAATGTTAATTGTGTATTCAGACATTAAAGGGCATCATAGGTCAGAATTTAAATTTCTTCAATAGAACATGACTGTTCTTTGACACGAGTCAACTTTGCTGAGTTGCTGGCAACAAAAGCTATTATGGACACATATGTAGAAAGAACTGGGGATCTCTCTATATATCTAGCCAAATCAGGATTCTTGAGTAGTCTAAAAACAACAAGTCTGAAGGTTAAAGATGATAAATGTCTCAGAATATAATTTATATTGATCCTGCTTTTTTTTCTTTAAGGTTATCCTTGAAATCTGTTGCCCTCTTAATACATTAACCATGTTTTCCTAGACTGGAAACATCATAGGAACTAGGGAATTTGGCAGATGCCTAACTCAACACAGTATCTCAGTAAGCAAAATTGTATCAGGTTTAGTGTGGCTCACCTTTATAAAAAATTGTATATTATTATGACTTGAAACAAATATGGTAAAAGCCTGTTACAATAAGGCAAAGAGGTGATGGTCTTATCCCCTGAAACAATTAGTTAAAGACTTTCCTGTCCAATGAAAGAAGACGTAACACATCACATACTCACTGAAAGAAGCTTTTAAAAAGGCTGTGGTGACACAACATTGCCATGATAGAGATAATTAATGAAATAACACACAGGTTCTTATAAAAATAGCCTTGCTTCGTTTATCCGTTCTTTTAATACTGAAACAAAAGAAGGAACAGTTGCTGGTTGAAGTCACGCTGTTGAGGTGATACTAAGTTTTACCTTGGAATGACTTTGAAGAGAAGTCAGTATTTTACATTCAGATCATTTTTATTAACCAGCTTGATAAAGAAGTAATTTAAGGTAATTAAGCACTTTAACGCTGACAGGTTGATGTTGTTTAGTGACAGGTGTGTCATTTGTATGGCAAGTAGCTAATTTGAGACTGTATTTTTTTTTTCAGGAGTCCCTCTCCTGCCTCCTTTTCCAGTCTTCAGAGGTCAGCTGTCTTCCCATCCTTGGGTCTTTCTTATTTAGGGAGGATAAGACTGACTTTATTTGCATTCATAATATGTGATTGTGCCACCATTTGCCTGAATCACTTTCAGGACAGTTGTTTATTTCATCTCACTGATGGCAAAGGGATTGCCTTTTGGGATTGAACATTGTTTTCTGTATCTCTGTGCTTTGCTTCTGACACTGAAATCAAACTGCATGTTGTGAGATAGCAGAGTAATTGTGTTTCGTGATGTTGACTCTGAAATTGGAAGACCGTGTCCCCAAATGCACCTACATTTCTATTTCAGAGGCATATGTGAGTCTATAAATCATGAATTCACTTTTAGTAATTTTGGATCATATTTCCATTGTTTTGACTCTACTAACTTCCAGAAGTAGAAATTTTGGAAGTCTGATCCCTAGATGGAATTTTGTCTTATCTAGGGACGCATTAGTGGGAATTGTCCAGGTCTATCCCGAGAGTCTTCAACTCTCTTGTGATAATAGTATTTCTGAGAATTCTAATTAGTTTGTCTTGGTTATCGGAGAGGCTACGCATGCCCTTCTTAATTACAGTCATCTTGCTTTTGACAATTTCCAATACTTTTGCGTTTGTCTTAAGATAAAAAGACTGCAGAATTCTAGGCAGACCTCCCTTATATTGTATAAGAGTAAGATTTAAGATTGTTCTTGGGCGCCTGGGTGGCTCAGTCATTAAGCGTCTGCCTTCGGCTCAGGTCATGATCCCAGGGTCCTGGGATGGAGTCCCACATCGGGCTCCCTACTCGGCAGGAAGCCTCCTTCTCGCTCTCCCACTCCCCCTGCTTGTGTTCCTGCTCTCGCTATCTCTCTCTCTGTCAAATAAATAAATAAAATTAAAAAAAAAAAAGATTTAAGATTGTTCTCTTCATTTTACTTCTATTACTTTACTAGTGATGTCCAAAACCTTTTATACGTGTAACCCATTGTTCACTCGGGCAGAAATAAGTCTCATTAAGACAGAATTTTTTAGAGTGCTGGTTTACTGTATTTTCTCTCTATGCACAGGAATCTTGAGGGACTCTTTAACTTCAGCCTTTAGGATAAAACGATTTGTTCAGAATGACTGAACTCCAGGGCGCCTGGGTGGCTCAGTTGGTTAAGCGACTGCCTTCGGCTCAGGTCATGATCCCAGAGTCCTGGGATCGAGTCCCGCATCGGGCCCCCGGCTCGGCGGGGAGCCTGCTTCTCCCTCTGACCCTATCCCCTTTCATGCTGTTTCTCTCTCTCTCTCTCTCTTAAATAAATAAATAAATAAAATCTTTAAAAAAAAAAAAAGAATGAACTCCAGTTATGTAAGGTAAAATCTATATAATTTAATTTCATATATACTTAATTTCATAAATACTTTCATAAATACATAAATAAGGTAAAATCTATATAATTAACTTCATAAATACTTAAATTTCATAAATACTGTCATTAAGACAGAATTTTTTAGAGTGCTGGTTTACTGTATTTTCTTTCTATGCACAGGAATCTTGAGGGACTCTTTAACTTCAGCCTTTAGGATAAAACGATTTGTTCAGAATGACTGAACTCCCAGTTATGTAAGGTAAAATCTATATAATTTAATTTCATAAATACTTAAACATTTTGATAATCCAAAAAATGGAACTAATTCTACTTATCATAATATTAATACAAATACAACACCAGAGGTGGAAAGAAGACAATAAAAATAACCTGAAATAATTTTGTGATTATAGTTGTAGATTTTTTTCTATGTATATTTCTCTATATTTCAGTAAATGGGTTTCTGTCCTACATACTGCTTTGAATCTGGCTTATCTGCACCACTTTTTTCCCCACTATATGATTGTACCCTAACTGCAATGCCCTTTTATTTTCCAGACATTTAGGTTATTTATGTAATTATAGAGAATCCAGTGTTGAACATGCAAATACATACATCTCTACATTTGAGTAATGTTGCCCCTTAGGGTAAGTCCAGAGAATTGGTCTGGTATGGTAAAAAGGTATAGTTTGGTCACCTATTAACTGTAAAGAACATTGCCAGATTATCATCTTGGAAGATTATTTCAGTTTGTACTCCCTCTGAGATTGCATATTAGTACCTGTTTTCTCTCTTTACCTGCCAACATTGTGTGTTGTTAATCGTTTCAATTTTTTGACATGGTGATAGGTAAAACCTAATAACTAGTTTAATTTGCAATCCTGTCTGTTACTGAGGTCTTGTACATCTTCTCATACATTTATTGGATATGTGTATTGGTTTTAATCATTTTCTATAGAAGTATTACTCTTTATTTTCTTATTTCCTAACTCCATTAATGTAATACATTGTTTTTCTTCAACTGTTCTAAAATCACCTTTATCAAAACGCATCTTGAATATATTTTTGACTCATTCTTCTTTATTTTTTTTCCATTCCTTTCTACTGATCTATTTTTTTATGTGTTAAAAGCATACTATTTAATGCTAGCAAAATATTACACTTTCATTTACTCAAATTTTTGTGAATTTTTCTATATATTCACGTTTCATTTTCCAGGCAAATATTAGAATCATGACTCCATATATTTACAGATCATGCACATACAGAGTAGGTTCTGATAGCCCTGCCCAGCTCTTCCTCATTAAGGAATTAGTGTCAACCTTATCTAGTAGGACTAAGGGAAGAGTTCTTCGTTAGAGTGAAAATTATGTCCTGCACCCACACCATTTGGCCAAGATATTTGCTTTTTAAGGCTCCCATGACTAATCACAAGTAGTTTAAAGTTTTTGTTTACATATTGTTCAGTGTTCAGTTATTAAGTATTGAGTCAATGTTTTAAAAAAATTATAAGTGAAAGACTATTTCTCTTCTAAAATACTTTACAAAGTAGTTGTTCTTCTCAGATATTTAACAGTGTTAGGGAGTGATGATCAGTAAATATGTTGATATGAAGGCAGTTAACAACAAGTTCACTGAACAAACAAAAATTTGTTCTAAAGCAGTGGATAGCATTATCTTCCAAAAGTCCTAAGGCACCCTGTCAAGTGAATTTACAGATACTACCATGTCTGTCTAGAAGTACTATTGCCCAAAGATTGAATATTGTTGTAACCTAGATATTGCCTCCCCACACTTTTCTGAGGTAATTTAAGATAAACAGTCATCCACGGTACCCTCCCACCCCCCACCCTCCGGCCCCAATTTAATACCTCTCACAGTGCCTGGCAGAGAATGAGAGCTCAGTACACAGTGTTTTGTTTGTTTGTTTTAAATAAAAAATATACAGATGGACATGACCCCACCTCTGCCCATTTCAGTCGTTAGTGTTTGTTTCATGGATGGGCTTAAGAGGTTCTGGCCCAGACATTAGACTAAGACATTCAGAACATGAGACTGTAGATGACATTAGCACTAGAGCTGGGAGGCCAACAATAGTCAGACCCAGAGTTTAGCTCCACCTACGGGAACATCACGCAAGCCAAAGTTGGCCAAGTGGGCGTGGGAGGCAAAAACTAACTCTGGAGAAGCCAAGGGGTCAAGAGAAGCA